GACAGGCTTTGTATGCCATACAATGTTCTGCAGTGCAAACAGATAAATGCTGTAGATATGTGCCTCAGTGTGCTGACAAGAGCTTACAAGGTTTGTGTGTGTGTGCAGAGATGCACACATTGAGGAAAGGTTTAGACTGCTTTGTGGGATGGTGATTTGCTTGAACTAAAGCCTCCTGTATACCATTTCATTACACTCTAATACAGAACACACCTGCAGGGTGACTGGTGCCTTTAGTATCCCCTTGGGTCATGCCGAAATTGTTCCATGCCCTGCAGAGTTGCAGGGTCTTGTGTAAGCTTGCTTCAAAATTGATCCATCTTTCAGGGAGTTCATATGCTAGTGAGCTCTGAAGATGACAGCTCAAATATATATGATACATATAATTTTTGTTTCAAAAAGCTTTCTCCACCAGGTTTCTACTAAAGCTGTGTTTTATAGTGTGAATAGCAACCAAACCCCAAACATTGGCATTGCAGTCAGGTTCTTAATGGATGCCTTCCCAAAAACACATCTTCTTTGTAGTGAGTTTCATCAAGAGTAACTGCGAAAGCATAGTTTGGGGTTGTTTTGGTTTTTTGGTTTTTGGTTTTTTGGTTTTTTTTTTTTGTTGTTGTTTGTTTGTTTTTTTGTAATTTGTTTGGTATTATTAAATTACACCAATTTAGTCATTTATATATATATATCTAGATCCAGTCAGCCAAATTTTCAGCCTGAAATTACAGAGTGCAGGCATACCTAGACAGCAGCAGTGTGATACTATTTTACAGTAAGGAAGATCTCAGCAGCTATGGTATGAGGACAGGATCTCAGAGTATTCAATAATGCTTATTAACAGCATGTAAGCTGAAGTGAAGAAAGCAGCATATCATATCAAAACACAGGGGGAGTATTGTTTATCTGAATTGGGATTTGGGACAGGACTACAGCAATAATATAATGCTTGCCATTTAGTTGTCTTCCCTTGGCACGATTGTTAAAAGTTATTAAGTGACCAATGTGTAAGTAAATATGATGGGTGTAATTTGTGGGTTTTAATTTCAAATATTGGTGTATATTAATTCAGAGTCTGTGCACTATCTGTTCCTTTCAGCACAGCTCCAATTTAAAGTTCCAAGTATAAGAGAATGCAATATAATATAATTGTGGTCATTTTATTTTCTTCAATAAAAGCAATCATTGCCTGTAGCTGGCTTCAAAGTGTTGTGAGCAGCTTGAAACTGTTACTGACTGTCTGCTAAAAAAAGTCTCAAGCCTGGCAAATACCTTTGGAGAATTTTTGTAATTGACATTAAATTTAGCTTTTAGATGAAAAGCACACACTGTTCAGAACAGCTGGCAGTCACTGAAGTAAAATGAAAGGCATTGTTTTGCAAAAAACTCAGGTGAGTACAAAGTAAACAGCAGCCTAATTATTTTACCTTAGTCAATTAAAAGTTAGTATGTGTATTAAGAGCTTGATCTTTATCATACTGTAATTAATGGTAAAACTCCCACTGACTTCAATAGCAATACCAAACCGTAAGATAAAATCACTCTTCAGAATGAGCTGAAAGAACTATTGCCTTCAAGTTTCCAACATTATATTTAATTACAAGAATAATGTTTTGACTAGTAATCAGGAGCCCTGTATCTTGTTCCTGGAACAGAAAAGCAAATGCTCAGATTTAAGGACATGTCCTGAATGAAGCTGCTTTCTGGAATTAAACGTTTTATTCTCATTACTGATCAGTGCTCTCTGTGTCTTTGGCATTATCAGTCAGGGCATCGTCTTGCCAAAGTGGCAGACACTCTTGCCACTGGTGTCAGGGTAATGTCACCTGGGTTCACTCCTTGCAGGTCTGGGATCTAGGTAAATATCTTCAGCTTTACAGCAGATGAGCTAATGCATATACTATGAGGTTACATAATTTTATATGATCTGCTGTGTTTAGAGATTAAGTGATATGTAAATGCAGGAGTTTGCTGTAATATTAGCATACAATTTCAGATGTGAAAGACATCTGGCTTCCCAGGATAACGGTTCTCTGGTTTAGATGTTTTTATTGACTTCTAAATGAACTATTTGGTTAAGAGCTAAGCACTTTCTATGTAAGTCCTAACTCCCTTTCTTTGCAAGGTGGAGGACAACTTGGGAACATTCCAGTGTAATGTTTTGCCAGCAGCAATCTCTCAAAGTGCTTAGAAGTCTCTGTCTTAAAGCTGAGCAGTAGTGAAACCAGGAAAGGATGGTGATTAATAGAGGATTACTTATGCACCTTAAGATAAGATAAAAAACTGGAGTGATTAGTGAAGTTCTTAAATTTGCTAAAGTGCCTTGTTCATATTGCTTTTTCATCCTTGGAGTCTGAAACCTGATTTCAGCCTACTGTTTTCTTCCAGAGTTGGAACTTCCTGCTCTTAAGAAGTGTGATGATTCTAATCTATTAACTGCAGAAGAGCAAAAGTCCTGTCTTATTCCACCTTCAGTCTGATTATAGCACTTTTGGAAGTTTGTGGTCATGTCCATATCCAATGGTATGCTGGGCTCTTGCCTCTTTTCTCTTTAGCTTGGTTTTCTTGCATAAACTGCTGGACTATTCTGAAAGTGCTCTGTACTTTCCTTCCACATAAATGGAGAGCTCTGCTTGTTTGTCTGTTTGTTTATCCATCCTGGTTCTCACGTGGTTTTCGGACAAGGACCAAGGGAGAGCCTTGGATCATGGTTGTCCTAACTTCCCACCAAAATGCCCAGGCAATTTCCCTGGCAGCAATGCTGACCAAAAGACATTGTAATAATGACATTGAGACCCAAATCATAAGTAGAAAAGTTACAGCACAGGTCTAGTTAGAGAGCCTGAGGTAGCTAATCTCTTACAGTCATGCATCCTCAGTGATGATTGACCCCTCCGAGAGTTTAATAAAGGTAAAAAAATTGAAATAAACTGCCCACAAGTTACTAAAAAATGAGTCTGGAATGTGCAATGGTACCTTGGTTTTAGCTTCAGCAATGGGTCTGGGGGGCAGCCACAGTTCTGGAAAAGTCCTGATTTGGAAGACAAGCAGATTCAGATCTAGATCTAAATTCTAGGGTCTGTATCCATTGCAATATGACCTGTGCTTGATGGAGCACTGAAATAGGAACTGAAAAAGTTAATAAAGCCTTTTTTTCCAGTGTTATATCCATGTTTAATTTCTCTTCACTCTTTGCATCTACAACACATCTGAAAGTCTGTCATTTTACAGGAATATAATAAGACTGTTAATTAGAGCAGGCTGAAAGAATCCAAGCCAAAGTCAATAGTTACCTATTTTCTTTTTCTTTTGTAAGCAGAAGCCTGTCAAGTTCAACAGAGAAATTTTCTTCGTTATAATTTATTACAAAAGTTATAAAAACAAGATATCTTGAAAGAGTAAATCTGCAGGTTTTTTTCCAAAACTGAATTCAGTTTTTTCCAAAACTGAATTGTTTTAGCAGGTTGAGGGAGATTAAACTAAAAGTGATTATATTTTTAACTTAAGCTTTCCCCACCAGACAAACAAACAAAAACACTAAGTGACACAATTGTAAATTTGGCTCTATTCACAGAAGAGAAAATGCCTGGATTCATACAGTCCTCTGTGGCGCTTCTATAGGAAGCTGGGTGTTGGGCAGGGACAGTTGTGCTGCTTGGGTGCCCACATCTACAGGGAGCTGGGATACAGTCAGCTGCAGGAAACAGGAGGGGCTGTTACACCTGACAAAGGTACTAGTCTAAGAGATGGAGAATTTCATAGGGCGTTTAAGCATCTTGCAAAGCGTTAACATCTAATAAGAAAGCTTACGGCCCAAATGCTGCACTTCTGCAAACATTAATACAGGCTGTTGTTAGCCAGGGGAAATACTTTGTGAGGCTCATTAGTTTAATTGGTCCCTGTCATCTAGTTAAAAAGGAGGAAAGAAATGCTCTTGACAAAGGCACAGGCTCTGTGTGCAAGTGGCATTTTGCTGCTGTAGCTCTGCTGTGTGCTGGCTGGCTAGCGTGGGGCATCCATCACAGTCTTGTCCTCCATTAGCACAGGGCAGCAGCAGGCAGCAACTCCTGGACACAGCTACATGCCTAAACCACCACCATTATAACCAGCTTGGGTGTGTGCGTGCCTCGGCTACTATGGCACAGGTTTGGAGTGCCACCTGCCTGAATGCTGTGGGTCTTTATGGTGTGGGCCGCCATGAGTCCTTCTCTTCCTTCACTGCTTCTGAGGGTGAGTGGCTCACAAAGATGATCATCTCTAAAATCATTGTAAGCACAGCCGTGTGGGAAGCAAGATTCAGTAGGGATTAGTTTTGGAGACTAGTTGCATGAATGTCCTGTTGTATAAGCAGGGATAAGCCATGGACCTCTATGGAGCTAATATTAACTTAAGGCACAGCCTGTTTTGATGCAGATGTGTACATCACAAGAGCCTTCCAGGGAGGGAAGGCACTGTAGGCAGGTGATTACAGTTGTATTGTTGAAATCTGTGGTATTTAAATGATCCTGAGATTGAAAAAATCTCTGTCTTTCATCCCTGCTGCCAAAGAAGAAGCCATAATTCCTCTGTGCTGGTTTTCAAGGTTGTTTATTCTTGCTTATCTCTAACAGGTCTGTCCTGCAGGGCAGCGTGTGGGGCTCTGCCCCTCAGTGGGATGTTACAAACATTATATACCAGAAACTACGTGTGCTATATTTACAATAATGTGCCAATATCTGTCACCTACGTTGAACAGTGTGTCCCCAGTCTAAACCAACAGAAAAATGCCAACACTACAGTGAAACATGGAGGGCATGAAGAAGAAGAAGAAGGACAAGACACACCCAATTTCCTCCATCTTGCCTCCTTTGAACCCCTTATCTAGAATCCTAAAATTTTACTTTTGCACCCGTGCCACACTAATTATTACTTATATCAAACACTCAGAACTTGTAATTCATCCTGTATGATTGAAAACTCTTTTCCATGGACAGAGATCAGAGCCAGTGTCTCTCGGGGCTCTGTACAGGGGGGTTCCTGACCCCCTGTCAGGGTCCCAGGCCTTCCAGGGCAGCCAGAGGGGAGCCCTGGATTCCCACGTTCTATCTGACCCTCCATATTTTAGTGGTGTGGTGACAGAGGTGTCAATGGGGGTGTATCGCAGTGCTGACCTGTGCTGGTCTAGGCTGGGCCCTGGTGAGCCCAGCTAACAGAAATTCAGTGGTAGTGTTAAGATACATGCAAATCTATTCCTGCAGGTTTTTCTCAATTGCAATCCTAGCTGCTGTGGGGTTTTACTGAAATTTCCTTCTGTTGCAGTACCTAACTTAAGTCTACTAAGGTGAAGTTTGTAGTCTGCTTTCTAGATCACTTAAGACCCGTGGCAAAATTAACTATATTGGTTTAGTTAATTGTACTCATCCAAGAAACATTGGTAGCTCCCCTGGGTCACTACAGCAATTTCTTTCATGCTGTAAAATGTTTACCTCTCTAGAGTAAAAATGTCTAAGCTGTCGTTATGTGACTCTACAGCTCCACACCAATAAAGGCTACCTGTGCCTTTATCTTTTTTAAGCTAGTAAGAAACTGCCAAATTAACTGGAATAGTTCCAGAGCCTGATTTCTAATTTTGTTTTCATTGTTTTTGATTTGATGTTACATGATTGATAGCAACTTTTTGTACTTTGGGAATCTTGCTCTCTTTGACTGTACTGGTTAGCTTCTGCTTTTTTTCACATAAGAAGTCAGCCAAGCTAAGTCTTTCCTTTTGATTCATGCAGGTTGTAAGGTCAGTTCTGGTAGGTATGATTTGCTAATGAATTCATGCTCCATTTCTCAGCTGGCTGGTTCTGCAAGTAGGCCTGGACAAATACATTGACATTTGAATTTAAGGTGACATTGAAACTTAGGTTAAACAACATTTGAGAATAGATTCAGAAAACCAAAAGAAATATTAAGTAGAATAAATAAAAACACTTTTATAATAAGAGCATATTAAATATGTATATGTGTATGTATATATATCTTTATGCTGGAGATTACAAAGTTTATATAATTTCATATATGTCAGCATCAATCTGAGGGATTCTTCTGTGCTCCAAAGAAAAGGGAAAAGTCAAGCACAAGCAAAGGAAGGGAAAGAGTGTCATGTGGCAAGCAGCATTTCCAGTGTATTCATTCCTAATGTGGTAAGTGCCAGCACAGAGGTGACTTAGAGGGTCACTACTGGGTGTCATTTCCCTGGGGCACACCAGGGGTGGGACAGAACACAGGCAGAACTGAGAACATCTCTCCCCCTTTCACCACAAGCCACCCTAATTGGGTCATTTTAGCCAGGTGAAGTCTAGTCTGGAATAACTTTCCTACTCCTCTAATAGGGAGAAACTAGAATTTGAATCCTAGGCTGCAGCTGATCCTTCAGCATCCACCACAACTACGCCTGAAACTGGGAATGGATTCTAAAGGCAGGATCTCTCTGTACTTAGTCTGTTTTTTACAATTATTGACTCATCATTGGGAAATTTTTCTTTGGTTCAGAAAAGGTCATTCCAACAGATGATACAAGGATATGGGCCAAGGCACTACCAGGGGCTTCAGCTTTGGCTGAATTTTCCAGTTTTGATTTGTACTTCCTGTGTGAGCGCACTCAAGGTATTTCATTCATCCATGTCTCCATCCACTCTGAGGTGAAACACAATGTGCCATACTGCTTCATTTTTACTGTGATTTGTTTGTAAACAGCTCGGGGGAAAAAAATCTGTCTCATTATTTCCTTTGGCAATGTGTTCCCCATCCTTAAAATTATTTTTGTCCTCTACAGTGTTAATTGGAAGTGATTAATGAACTGGTGGCTTTTCAAAGGACACCAGCATTGTGTGATCCTTGGGATGCAAATGTGTTTCAGAGGTAGAAGGAAAATAGGAATATCTGTGGGGCAAACTCCAAACTTTATCTCAGCATTCTCAGTGGTTCTCACCACTGAGAGATTCTCATAATTCATTTAGGGTACACCGGAAGTGTTGAGCTCACCCAAAGCACAAACTACAGGTTAATTTCAATGGTGAGAAGGCAGCATCTCATGGATAGAACTGAAAATTGTCTTTGACTCACTCCCTGATCAGAGGACATTCAAAACTACATTTGCCACTTCCAAAGAAGGTTTCCTAAATACCATATGGGAATAAGAGTTATTTTCTGCATGTCATATTGAAGTCATTTTCCTGCAGAAAGGAGAAATCCAGAAAATTTACTGAGTCAAAGATAGATGTAGAGAAAGGCATGGAAAAATAGGGACATAATGCTAGGGTGTAGAAACAGGACAACAGCAAAAGGGGACAGCAGTGCTTACTCTATAGGATGTTTCTGTATTTTGTGTTAAATGCAAAGTGAGTAATATATGCTACTGTTATCACCACCACTGTTACCTAGACATATTTTTTTCCTTTTGCCAGTCATTAAATGAATGAATGGCATTAAATTAATGAATGGCTGAAGATATGAATGAATTCTGAGAAAGAAAATGAGAGGCTGTGCTTCAGGAACAGGCTCCAAACAGAATGTCCCTCTTTGCTGCTGGTGCATAGTGCCAGAGCAAGAGAAGATTCCATGTTTTTAGTTTGTTGCTACTTTCTAGTCCCCCCTACAGAGACCAGAATCTGGACTCTGAACCCCCTACAGATTGTGAGAATCTGGCATTTGAAATGTAAATGCTGTTGTGCCTAATTTCTAACCACCAAGATCTATTGGGTTCTTAATCCATTCCATGGAATTAAATTTTAATCCCTTTACTCTCAGATTTAAGGTAATAATCTGAGTTATCTGGAAAATCTCTGATATAAAACTCCCTTGATTTTACATAGAACACCCCACAGGTAAAGTTATTTAACTTGCTCAAGAACACCTGGCCAAAATTAATTTTTTGGAAGAACTGGTAATTAAATTTCTTTGCAATAATTTGCCTGTAAATAGGTATGCAAAAATCTTGATTTTAGTGTCTCTGAAATCACAGTATTCAGTGTAGATACATTAAGGAATTTCAGTGGAGCATGAGATAAGCTCCAAAAATATTGAATCCTTTCGACTGCCACATTTGTGCTATCATTCAGCAACTAATTCCATTTTTAATGATCTTGCCAAGATGTTCAAACTACATTAGTTATGTCAAATTCTTTGATTGGTATTTAAACTGTTTTCTCTTCCTTTCAAAAAGGTTGCCAGTTTAACTGCCCAAGTGTAAAACACAGTTGCAGAAGGGTTTATGTGTGGTAATGAGACACACTAATCTTACCTGCTCATTCAATGTAGATTCAGATTTGTGTGTCTGAAAATTGTATAATGTGTCTAAGATTAGGATAATGACGTACTCTTGTTTGAATTATGCAGAAGTAGTGCATTAAAAAAAAATGCATGGATATTAGTGTCAAAACTTCTTTTCTTTTAGTGGATAATATCTTGAGGACAGGGGTCTTAGGTTCAAATTAGGATAATTGCAACTAATTGAATGCAATTTAAAAAGCAACATCTTCTAGAAATGGAGTCAGGTAATGTGTAGTCCAATACATCTAGCAGATGGATTGTTGACTGCAAAGCAATTAATTTGATGTTTCAGTGTCCTTTATCTCTGTTCCCACACAGCAAAGTAAACATGGAACTCCAATGACACACAATGTCAAGAAACAAGTAGGTGCTGGAATTTTTTGGTGATATTATCATTCTCTGGCTTCTTTAATCAATCTTTACTCACAAGGTTCAATTTTCATTCCTTCTGGCACTTAACCACAAGCAAGACCAGATCTCATATAAATAGTATTCAAACAAGCATCTTACCAAAATTAAAAGGTAGTTTTAAGCATAGAAATTATGTATATTCAGTTGGTGTGGCAAGTCTTTAGTAGCAGGGGTGCCAGGGGTGACTTCTGACAGAAGATGCTTAAAGATTCCTGTGTCTGACAGAGCCAATTCCAGCTGGCTTCAAGACCGTTGCCAGTGGTCGAGGCCAAGCCTGTCAGTAACAGTGGTAGTGTCTCACTGGTAAAATACTTAAGAAGGCAGTAAAAAAACACTTCAAAACAACAACTGCAGTCAAAGAAGAGAGGAGTGAGATTATGTGAGAAACAACATTGCAGACAGCAAGCTCAGTGAAGAAGGAGGGAGAGGGCTTTTTCCAGGAGCTGGAGCAGAGATTTCCCTGCAGCCTGTGGTGCAGACCATGGTGAGGCAGCTGTGCCCTGCAGTCCGTGTACTTCCACAGGGAGTAGAGATCCACCTACAGCCTCTGGAGAATCCCATGCAGGATCAGATGGATGCCCAAAGGAGAAGTCTACACTGGAGCAGGCTCCTGGCAGAACCTGTGGATCCATGGAGAGAGGAGCCTGTGCTGGAGCAAGCTTTCCGGCAGGTCTTGTAACTCCATGGGGGACCAACACCGGAGCAGCCTGTTCCTGAAGGACTGCACTCCATGGAAGAGTCCCATGCTGGAGCAGGTCGTAAGGAACTGTGGCAAGAACTCACTTCGTGGAAGATTGTCTTCTGTGAGAGGTATCCCATGCTGGAGCAGGGCAAGATTGTGAGGAATCCTCTCCCTGAGGAGGACAGATTGGCAAAGACAACTTGTGATGAACTGAACACAACCCCCATTCCCCAGTCAGGAGTAAAGTTAAGGTTGGCAAGAGGGGAGAAGTTGGGGAAGGTGTTTTAAGATTTGTTTTTATTTCTCCTTATCCTATTCTAATTTGATTGGTAGTAGTCATTTTTCCCCAAGTAAAGTTTTTTTTGCCCATTACAGTAAATGGTGAGTGATCTCTCTCTGTCCTTATTTTGACCCATGAACATTTTTGGTATATTCTCTCTCCTCTTGTCCAGCTGAGGTGGGAAGTGTTAGAGTGGTTTTAGTGGGCACCTGTTGTCTTTCCAGGGTCACCCCACCAGAAGCAAATATTCTGTTCAACCAGTTCTCATTAACAATAGCCTTGTTGGGAACCTATCCAGTTTTATTCATTTTAAAGCATATCAGCTATTGATCAGATTCATTCAGTGATCTGTGTCTTTATGTGGCAGGATACGCACTTGTGCAAACTCATTAGAAAATTTGGAAATGAGCAACTAAGGCAAAGGGATAGTGGCACTCCCTTCTGTGGTATTGTTATCCTTGTATTTTCCCTCCTTGTCTGTATGGAAAAGGACAAGCAGAAAGTGGTCTGGCCTAGCCCTGCCCATGGCTTGATTACAAGGATTGTCTTTCTTATGCTGGATATGTCAGATCTCTTCTGGAACAAAAGGCTGAGTCTGGGTTTCCTAAGCACACCAGACTCAAGAGGACGGGAGTGTTAAACAAAGCTGTAGAGAGAGTAGGCAATGATACAGACCTGCTCAATGTGCAGCTATATCTTTCTTTACAGACAATGTTATATGCTGGGATAAATACTTGAAATAGGCGTTAAATAGGAGGCTGGCAGCAATCAGTTGTCTTTGTCAAAAAATAACAGCTCTCTGAGTTGAAAGGAGGAGGTTAGTTACCTGTTAAAGTATCAGACTTAAGAAAAATCACAGGAAGAAAAGGTGAGATAAAATTACAGAGGCATGAAAATAGCTGCTTTACCACTCATTTCCCTCCTTCAAGGTATAAACTCTACTGCAATAAGTCCATCGTTGAGAAAAGCTGGACTGTCTCTGTAAAGCCAGGTAGTTATCAAAAGCTCTCCCACAACAGACCCTTTAACAACTCAACAAAGCATAATCAGAGAGGAAGCAAGATAACCCACCACAAATCAGCTGGTTTTATGCTTCTTTTCCTGTCCCATTATTTGTGCCTGAGGACATTTTAAAGACTGATCACAGAGATTTCTGGGAGAGGTGAGAAAGGTGCAATATCAGCAAGCCAGACAAGTGTACAGTTATGTTTTGGATGAAAAGCAGCAAGATATTGAGATGTACTGAATATATCCAACTGCATATGGTTCTTCTCTAAATGGAATGTTCTTACTTCTGACATGTAGAGACCAAGAAAGAAGATATTTTGCAGAGCAAAAAAATATTCCTTTTTCTAGGGCAGAGTCTCTCAAAGATGTCGTGAATATTCTCAGCAAAGGTCCAGGATCCCAGGAGATAATTTGCAGCTCTTTAACAAGGAAAAGGTAAGTTGCATTTGAAGAGTTTACAGCACCACCTGAAGGATTGCTGCTTTTTAGAGTTTTTAGTTGCCTGTTTTTCTCTCTTTTTTGTTTGCTTTCCTGGAAGTAAATTTAAGAAACTTCTGTTTGACAATTGGTTTACCAATAATCATTATTTTAAAGAATAGCACTCTTCACTCTTATATCAGCCAAACCCATATTATTGAACACTTTTTAAAGAAGTGTTTTATGCCAGTGTTAATTAGCATTCAGCAAACCCAACTACCAGAAACATTGTCCCTGAACTGAAATACAGATGATCTCCCCTAATACATGTGTATATTGGTATTAGTGTCAATGTCATGTAAACACTAGAGCAAGATAAGAAATACTGCAAGGATAAATTAATTAATGTTGGTGATCTGCTCCAGTAAAAGGAAAAGCCTTTCTTTGAATAGCCAGAAAGTTCTGCCCTGAGCTGCATGTTCAGTTTGAAATGATGGGTTAAGAATCATTTGCCATCTATACAAATCCAGAGGCATTCCTCTTTTTCTACTCATGTGATTTCTGACACTAGCCTAAGCTTAGGAATCATGGAAAGTCTTGGTATTCATTTATTTTAGACTTTGAAGCACCATACGTTTTCAATTGGTCCTGAAGTGCATGACCTACTTCACTGCAAGATGTTTTAAATATTCTGAACCATTTTCATAGGGCAGTCCTTCAGACAGAGAGACTGGAAAGAAGATTCGACTCATTTAGGTGGAACGTGCTCTTTTCTTTGTTGCTCTTCTGCTAGATTCTGGTAGAAGTTTGCATTCCTATTTCAATTGAAGCTTAGAAGTCCTCATTTCATTGTGGAAGCCTCAGAAAATCTGGGGTGCCATGTCTCGTCTCAGAAGAAAAATAGTTAGAATCAATGCTGTGGGAGCATTCTGGGGTCTTGGAGAAAAAAACAGGGAACACTGCTGTGGACTTTGGTAGTGTAAACCATGGAAGGAGCAGCAGGACAGAGAAGAATGATGAAAAGACTCCCTAGAGTAGGATCAAGCCTGCTCCACAACCTCACACTGAGCTCCTCTGTGCCCTCTTGCTGCACCACCACCACTGGGGCAGTCTGGGGAGGGCACAACCCCACAGCCCAGGCAAGCTCTGCAGTGGGGTACATTGAAGAGTAGGGCTGCAGGGTTGCCCCAGAAGGGACAGCTTGTCCTGCTAGTGAGCCCAGGTGCAAGGTCTCCTGATGTCTTAGATTGGAAGGTGATTCTGATATTAGGCAGCCCAGGTGAGGGATTGGCACCAGGGCTAGGAGGCATAAGCTTTATTGGTCCACAAAAAAATTAGCTTTTCTCCATCCAAGTTAGCACATGCCAGCTGCCTCATTAACATTAAATAGATAACATGATGGGGGAAAAAAATCAGAGGAAATCCTACCTGAAGTTGGAGATGTTTTGTCTTGTTTTCTTTTTAACTGGAGACCTGCTGGAATCCAGAAATAAAATTAAACTTCTTTTTAGAAGAAGTAATTGAAAAGAAAAAAGCAATCAAAGGATGAACAAATGAAGCCTTTTCTTACTGCTGTATGAATAAAAAATGTTATTAATAAACCCTTTCATTTCAGGCTTCCACTCTGCAGTCACACGTTTTGAATGTATAACAACACAAATGAAAATGTTTACCTCTTAAGTCCTTCACAGCACTACAGATATTTTTTGAAAATAGAGAAAGGGAGCCAAGAAGGCATGGACACAGAGTGACAGAGGACAGTGGGAATAGAGATTTAATCAAAAACCCTTTAAAAATTACTCTTTTATTTCCCAGCTTTCAGTATTTATATTGAATAGCCAATTATTTTATAAAAATAGCCAGTCTCATTTTGCTGTTTTAATTTTTAACATTTTATTTCAATATACATTTGTGAGTGATTAAAAGGAAAATCTAAATTGCAGCAGGGAGAGAAGCACCCATGTGTTTTTGTTCACATCCAGCTTTTAAGACCTGGAAAAGCTAGAAACAGCAGCAGGCAGGCAAAATAAGGGTGAGAAGCGAAGAGAAAATAAATCAATATTGTGCCAAAAAGTTTCACCCTACAGAGCCTTTCTCTCTTTACATTTATGTGAGGAAAACAGTATTTTCCTGTATAATTTTTTTGGGTTTTATATGAGTTTTTGTAAAATTAGTCTATATCTTTAAGGACAAGCTGACTATTCATTTTGGATTGTCACAGTGCAATGAGAATATAACAAGCATACAGGGGTGGCAAACATTGGTTTCTGTAGCAGTCTTTTGAAAAAATATTGAACAAAACTGATTTTGTCTCTTTGGTACCCTCAATATGGTTAAAAGGAGGTGTTTGATCATGCATGTCATTGATTAATGCTGAAATTAAGACCAACTTTAGAGGGTTTCCTCAGAACCCCGATGGTCATAGAAAAGAAAAGCAAGCTCTATAAATTTAATTGACTATACACTACAGTGAGTTTATCCCTATTGTTAATTGTATTAACCTACAAAAGTAGTCAAGGATTAATTAGAAATAAAGACCAGGAGATGAACTGAAGATTCTCAAGGGAAGCCCTGATATGTATTATCCTTGAACTGTATAATTATCGAAATCCTTACTATTTTAATGGTGTGCTCACCTGAATGTAACCCTAATTGCTTCTTTTATTCTTAGCTATTTTTGTACAGATTGCTAATCATATTTCAAACTAGAACCACCTGCTGAAGACCGGCAGAAACAAAAGTGGAAGGATTCTTAATGTCCTAATTTGGGAGGAGGTTATAGCACAATATGATTGAGATCAAACTACCTCATGCTTGAAATCAAGAACAAACCACTCTTCTTTGACAAAAAAGGTAGGATTCTTTCCCTCTGCTTGTACCCAGATTTTCCCTTAGGTTAAGCTTTAGTCAAGAAAGAAGTGGCGCCTGATTAAAAGGTGGGATAAATGAACTCAAGTGCTTTCTGAAGGGAAAAACAGACCTCAGAGTTCTCATTTTGATGAGTGACTGTAATACTATGCAATGCTGGGCTTATCCTTAGCACTGCTCTATCCTAGTCCAGAGCACTACCTGACACTTGTGAAAAGACACAATAAACACCAGTGGGTATAATGGGAAGGTACCAGGGACTGACTTGCTCTGGAAAGATCTGCTTTCCACCCCTGTCACTTCCCGTGGACTTTCAAAATCTTTCCTCCCAGTCTGTGCCTGCCTTTTTGTACCACTGTATATCTAAGCAGCATCCTTAGAAAATGCATGTGCTCCCTTTTAAAAAAGATCTGTTAAACATAAAAGTAAGAAATTCTGAAATACATACTGATAAGCTTAAAAAAAAAAAAAAAAAGGGCAGCAAAGTACCTTGCAGGCAGTCTTAAAAAAAGACAGTAGAATAAACCTTTAGATCTGTTTCTTTTATCCAAGCTCCCATTGCAATGACTGAGAAACCTTGCTCATTCATGTTAATGCAAATATGTGACTGTTGTGTTTGACTATAAAACAACTGGTATTCTTTATGGTGTTTTTTCTTTTTTTCATGACAACAAGAATATGATGTATTTTACTACTTCTGAGAAGAACTATTAGTACTATACAGCAAAAATTAAATTTTGATATTATCTTGAACTAAATAAGGTAATATCCTGTGTCCTCCTTGTATTTAAGCCTAAATATACATTGGGAATTCTGGATTTTTGGGGTCCTTATCCAATGCTTGCTCAGTGTCAATATTGTGCTTGATTACAGGGAAAACTCTTGCAGCCCAGCCGTGATGAATTATGATGTTCTCAGCTATTAAACAGACCTGAGCATTGGCCCAGAGTGAAACAGTCTCAGTAACCACTGCTTTTCCAGCAGTAGGTGTGAGCCTGCCCACTGCTTGATGTGTAATGCATTTGTCATACAGCCTGGGCTGAAAGAAGTCAAACAGAGTAAAAATCTATTGTCTGAAGCTTCAAGCAGAAGGGAGGTAACTACTTAACTTCTCTCCTGATGCTGATGTGAACACAGCGTGTACTATTCATACGTGGTGACTGATAAGAGGATCTGTGGTAGGGCTCCTTACCTCAGGTGAGGTTTTTATTGTAACACTAGGTAAGCAAACATTATTATAGAGGTGGGCTTGAAATTGCAGTGCTTGAAGCTGTCTTAGAAAAATGTATTACAGCAAAGTGACTGGGGAGGGAGTGACAGAAAAAGAGGGTGGATTTTAACCCATTCTTTTAGAGGGATCAAAAAAAGCCCTTCTCTTCCCAAGCAGAGCAACCTTCTCTGAGTAATCCATGGCTCTTTTGGTCCATTGGCTTCAGCTGTTTGGAAAACATTGGGTCTTACTAAGACTATGTACTAGTCAGGTGGCAATAAGGACAATTTTTACTGTAATCATATAGACAGGTACCATCTCCAAATTTTTTTTTCCTACTTTGTCTCTTTGTACTATAGAATGATTTGGGGGCAGATGAAATGTCACAGTGCACATGACTGAAATGTGTGAAAACTTAATTAACAGAATAATTACACAGCAGACGTGAGATCTTGTCTCTGTGAAAATCTGACAGGAATCTTGGGCCCTATGGAATATGAGTCCACATATATAGTCAGTGGAAAAGCCATTAGTCACAAAGTGGCTGCATCTGCTGGAAAGCATTAATCAGGTCCCTAACTTCAAAGAACATGGCATGCCTTGAAATACCCTTCTCCAGGCTTCTCAGGCATGCTATAAATGAATATGTGATTCTCTCCCAGCTACCAGGGTAAATCTGCATAGCTCAATTAACTGTAGTTGATTTATGCCAGTTACACCAACAGAGGATCTGGACAGAACCTAATAGACTCTCTATATCTAATAGTCCACCACAGTATGAAAATTGGGCATTATTCTGCATCAGCTATCCCTTTGCAGCCAGGGTGAACAGCAGAAGGATTTGTGATTTATTAAATGAACTGCTTCTCTACAAAGTTGAATCTATGTTGCTTCCCATGAGTTTCTACACTGGCAGGCCATGAGTTTCTTCTGCATATCATACATTTTCTGTGAAAAATATTAAGATAATCAGACAGTCAGTGTAATTTTCTTGATATCTAGTTAGAGACACATTGCCTAATCATTTTACTCATCAATCAAAATTTGCATCATGCAAAATTTTGCATGAAATTGATCACCTTTCTTTTTATTTTCTAGCTTCCTAAATTATTTTTATTTTTGCCTGTTATCAGATTGAACTCCTAAGAATTAATTTGAAAATAAATTAATATAGGTATTAGTTGCAGTTCATTTTTTAAGCAGACTGTGAGTATACATCTAGAAGTTTTTAGTATTCCTCTTTCATGTTATTATACATATAGGGCAATATTTAGGCCACTGAGTTGAAGCAAATCCTGAAGTGTGATTATCTTCTCATTGAAATGCTCTCTATTGTGCCTATTTGTTTGATGTGTTTTTCTTGTACGTTGTATTTCTGATGGCTTTGAGGTAAAATAATCATTATATGTCACCCATACTATCTCTTTTAATCTCCAGAAGATTAAGCATGTTTATTTAAAAACCCCTTTGATAGTGTCTTTACTAACTCAGCTATTTTGTAAAACTGGAAATAATGAATCAGGGAGATGCAATTTTGATAATGCCATTTACACAATTCCTATGAGGCTAGCTAGGAAAATAACTGGGGGAAGTATCTGACATACACATAGTGAGAATGGGGAAAATATTGTAATTTCATGTAGGTTATGAGGCACTGGGAAAATACAGTCAGCAGAAGCAGTTCAGTTAATGAATCACATTCTTCAGGGACTGCTGGACTCAGGAGATGGGTCATGGGATCAGGAATAGTTCCTTTAATCTCTTTGTCACTGGTTCAAATCCAATATCTGGGTCACTGGTTCAAATCCAATATCTGGGTCACTGGTTCAAATCCAATATGGATAGATAGTAATTAGAAGTCACTGTTATTTGAGGGCTCTGAGATGAACCTTTTGAAATGGAACTGGTGAAAGGACACTACAAAACAAACTACCCCCAAAAACTAAAATATCTGGAAAAATCACATGCTTCATAGCCAGTAGACGAACTTCAGAGACTTACTGGGGCTGGATGTGGGCTGCTTGTGGCTGTTGATGTGAAACATACATGTCCATCACTCAAGGGACTCTTCTGAGCTTGTGAAAGGGAGGGGGCAGAGACAAACACTGGTGATATTCCTGAAGCAAAGGTTCCACATTACTGGGAAGTCCATGCTACTCCCCTGAAGTTACAGCTCTTGTCTGGTGCTCCATGGAATACCACTCCTCTTCACTCATCATGAGGAGGTTGTAAAAGTCCTGGGCTCTTGGAGCTTCTAATGCCCAGCTATCCTCCACAAGCTGGTAAAGACAGGGCATGCTTTATCCTGTGGGCTTTCTGAGTGTCAGATGTGACACCATGCAGTGGTGTGAGGACTAATGCTGTCCATCACCACTCTGGAGTTTCAGACTACAGAAGGGAACTGGGAGGTCCCAGTGACCCTGTGGTTTGTTGTGTTTAAGTTATCCCAAAGGAGGGGTGGATGCAGAGGAGGCCATGTGAGTGGAAAGGCACATAGAGAATGTCACATGCCAGTCAGCACTTTAGCAGGCTACCAGAAGAGGTACTTTAGAAATAAAATCTGTAAGGCTGAAATATACTCAGATTGGACAGATGAACTGCTTATACCTGACACTAAGGGATTCAAATTTATAATTTTTTTTTCCCCTATCAGTGCAAAATCAGAGTAAGGGGACTTCTGAGTCAACCATGGGATCATACTGTCTGCTTTCCCATAAAACACTTCTTGGCAAGACCAATGTTAGTTGGCACAGGACTATGTTTTTTGATTATATATACCCTTGTTTTCTGAAACTTTGTATGCTTTTAATCTGTAAATCCAAATTCTCTGGAATTTGTATAAGACTGTGGAAGGAGCTTTTGTTTTTGTGAAGTATGGGGTTCTGTAGCAACCCAATCAAAGACTGGAGAGATTAATCTATTTCAGCTATCTGAAACCATGCTTTGGCAATGGCTTTTTACAGTGAGAACAGCTGATACAGTGGGGGAAATTTCATACAGATTCTGTCCTGCCAGTTGTTAAGGCAATTCCATTTGTGCTCTGCATTTCATTGTTTCCTAGAAAATAAACTCACCAAGCTACACAGATTAGCTGGTCTTGAAAAACTGAGGTAATTTTTAAGGCAAGAGATATTCTTATTCCCTAAAGAGAAGAAAAAATGAAGGAAGAAAAAGCACTCAGAACAGAAAAATAGGAGCTGGGTATAGGTATACTTTTAATTAAATACCCCAGTCCATGCCTTGGCCCAAATGTGAATTACCTATCCTCAAAGCAGAGGGAAAATACTCTGGCTCATATTCAAATATGTGAAAACACAAAATTTCCAATAAGCAAGACATATCTCACTGGGCTCTGGGAATGCTTTCCACAATGACATGCATAATTAAAGTCTGCATTGCCTTCTTGGCCCAAGAGAGGTTAATGGTAAAGCAGCTGCTAGCATCCATTAACTGTATTTAGGCGCTCTTTATAGGGAAAGACCAAGGTGCCCTTTTGAGCACTGAGAAGTAAGATATAAATACATGTTAGCCATTATTAACATGTATGCTTGTAACAAGCTGCCTTCAGGGACTGAAAGCTGCAGTCACATATTTCAGGTGTCACTGATAACTATATGTATAAAAGGAGCAACCTATCACAGGAAATATACTGTAGGGGATGTTTTGCATTTGAATTTGAAATGAGGCCTTCACTTACTGACCAAGTTTCTTGGACCTTTCAGTCACATTGCCTGAAACATCAAAACAGAGAAATTATCAATTTTTTTCATGTCAG